TCAGGGGTCCAGGATTATCTTCTGTGTCTGTGTTAATTGGTTTCCCTTTTCTTTGTTGAAGAGGGTCTGTGCAGTCTTTCTGCCTAGTCCACCATCCTGCCAGAACTCCCAGAAGTTGACTCTTACTGCAGCTAATTTTTATCTATTTCAGTTCACAATAAATTTCTAAATGACATTATTTCACTATTTCTAGAATCATAATGTATTTGCTTTTATAGAACATGGGTCTTTCACTTATCAAGAATATTATCTTCTTTTATTTAAAAATACAAGTGAAAATACAATTAGAGGAAACTGTAACCTTTATCATGTTTGAAAAAATAGTGCATGTAATTTTTTTTTGCATTTATAAATTGTTTTGAAAATACAATGATAATGACTTATAACATTCAATTACAATTATTATTATATTATTATATAATAATAATTATTATTATTACATTAATAATATACATTGAGTTAACTACCACAAATTATGTATTTAGTTTTTATGTTGTTATTAAATGGTTTTACTTTGTACTTTATTTTGGTTTTAGGTTTGTAATCAGAACCTTAACTGTCAATGTGATATTGGATATGCCCCTCCTCGTTGTGAGTCATCGCCATCATCAATTGGGGGAAGTATAGATGATGGGTTTTGGCAGATGACAGGTTGGTCTCCTAGTCAATGTATTTCAGTAGAGCTTTTTACACTTGTGAAAATGTTATTTTCTCCATTGTCTGTAGTAGCCAGAAGCCTCTGATAGGTCAATGCTATAATTGAGGAATTGAATTTTCCGTTTTATTTTTATCTTAATCAAGTTAAATTTCAATTTGTATAGTCACAAGTGATCAGTGGCTGCTGTATTAGACAGTTAGCTCTAGATCATATTTTCAATCAAAAATGTGTATACATTTTAAATTTAAACTAAAGTGAATATTCAAAAGTGGTTTCTTCTTTATTTTTAACAATGATTTCCTGAACATTTCTATTTATACATCAGAATTTTTTCATCATTATTGTTATATTACAGAAAAGGAGATATAATTTTTTTTTTACATAGTATATGTATTTGAAGGATTTTACATATTTTGACGTGCTAGTGTATAAGTGAGGAGCTCTGGTAGCTTAATGCCTAAAGCACTTGACTGCTAACCAGAAGGCTGGAAGTTCAAACCCACCAGCCACTCCTTGGAAGGAAGATGGGGCA